GGACGTGCTGCTAATAACAGAGGGCAGTGTTAAGAAAAGCTCAAATGTTAAGGCAATAAATCCACTAAGACGCAAACGGGTGGAGGGTTACTTAGTCTGAGAGAATATGAGCAAAATAAAAAAGAATATTAAGGAGAGGGGGCAATAAGACAGGAACTAAAAAGACGGAAGATAACGATTGACATAGCATTTAAAATATTTGAAGATCAACGTCGACCAGGAATCAAGCAGCCGAAAGAGATTTTCACAAGCGAGAAGTACGAGAGAAGAAACTGTCGGCATAGAACTTACGGTTTAGATCTAGCCATTTCAACTATAAGATGATGAGACCTAGCCGCCAATCTAGTACTGCTCTTAAAATCATAAAGTCTAGGTACCAAAGTGCAAAGCTCGCCAAGAGAATTGCCACGAAAATAATTATAGAAAAAGACGCAAGGTAACTACGTCATGGAGGTGGGAAAGGGACTGAAGCCGAGATGCCAGGTCAAGACCAATGACATTGCAGATTCTATTTTTGCATGTTATCAAGAATCCCTAAATACATAACAGAAACATCAGAATGGTAATGTTAATTGTAAAAATAAACCTTTCTATACAGGAAACGACCGACGTTCGTTAACAGCGTTAATGTCGTTTGAAAGGTAGCGTCCTGTTTCGTCAAAATTGGTTGTTTGACTGGTGTAGCCTCTCCAGAGTGCAGGCTTCGGTGATGGTGCATGGGAGCCGTGCGCTGTCCAAACTACATAACCCCCCCAAATCTCGACCGTACCGACAGGAAAACAAGGTGTTAATTTTGGGGATGGCTTGGCTGCAGGAGTCGCCAGAAAGTTATCGGTGTCGACAGCCAACCGCCTTCGGGGCTTCACTGCGGGTTTTCTGTCTGGATTTAATTCCATGACCTTTTTCCTTGTTAGTATATGACCACAAGGCAGCGGAGATCTAAAACCAGGGTTTTCCTTCTCCTAGATGAACTGCCTTACTGAGCTGTCGAGTTCCATCTATCTGGAGCAGCTGAGGTGACAGTTATATGCCTTAGCCTAGTCTCCAGATTGAAGCTGGACTTAGCTTTCAAAGGATATTTGAGACGCGGAAGTAATTTATAGACAGTGGGAGCTTGTCCCCACTATCACCTCTGTCTATGGCATCCTTTGGAACATATATAATGTACGTATATAAACATTATATACATTACGTGTTTTAGAAGCTGTCCTAAAAATTGATTTAAAAAATTATAATATAACAAGCCACAAAAACAGTATCACAATAATTGGTAATTATATTCTAAAATAAAATCATCTCCAATGCATTCCTATTGTAAAACCATTTATAATTAATTCGTATAGTAAAATCATCTCTAATATATTCCTATCGTAAAATCATTTACAGAGCATTATATATTAAAATCATTTCCAATCCATTCTTCTAGTAAAATCACTTTAATTCAGTCCTATCGTCAAATTATACCCAATAAGTTTTTGTTAAAATCATTTATCAAAGCATTCCTTATAGTAAAATCACTTCTAGTACATCTCCATAGTCACATCGTAAATTCATTTGCAATACAATCCTATCTTAAAATCTTTTGCAATTTAATCCTATAGGAAAATCATTTCAAAGCATTCCTAATAGTAAAATTACTTCTGTTACATTCCTATAGTAACACCGTAAAATCATTTGCAATGCAGTCCTATCGTATTTCTTTCAAAGATTCCAAATTCTGGAAGCATTCATCTCATAAAATGATTTTCATTGCATTCCTAATAGTAAAACCCTTTCCAAATAATTCCTACAGTAAAACTATTATTACGGCTTCCCATACTTAATACTTTCAGCGTCTAGTATGGACGAGTTTGTCGTTGCTTGGAATCTTTCATGCAAACAAAAACAGACTATCATTATTGTTATGTCTGTGTAATGTTTAATATGTTGTAATGTAATTTTCATCTTTGATAATGGCTTATGTCACATAAGTCATTATCAAAGATGACAATTACATTACGAAAGCTTAGATTGGATTAAAAAATATGTATCAATATGGCGATTTTCTTTCGTCTTTTAATGATAATGTTATTAAACTTATCAGAATCAGACGATATGAAAAGAACTTACATAAAATAAGTAGACAAAACTTGTCTATATTATTCAATGAAAATGCATCAATATATATATATATATATATATATATATATATAGGTTTTAATAATGTCGTTTTTGACGTACTTTTCTACGTCAAAAAACGACATTCTTACGTCATTATTTTTGCACCAACCTATATATATATATATATATATATATATATATATATATATATAATAATATATCTGAATATACATATATATTTATAATTATTTATTCGAAAATTATAACATTAATATGTTATAACATATTTATATTATAATTTTCGAATAAATAATTATATATATATATATATCTTCAGATATAAGCCAACTGATTTCAAGAATGTTATACTTCGATTTATTTTGATATTTTTATAATTAATATATTAATATATTATTATATTAATATTAAAATTATAATATAAATATGTTATAACATATTAATGTTATAATTTTCGAATAAATAAATATATATATATATATATATATATATATATATATATATAAAGATTGTCCATTTTTTTCTAAATATAAACCAAAATAAATCAGTTTGGGCAAAAAATTAATGGCAAGAACAATGGAGCAGAAAAATGCAGACTAACCTCAATACAATCTGGCCAACCCTCAGGAAAAAAAACTGTCATTATGGAAAATCTCGGACACTATAAAAAGGCTTCAAATAGCTCAAGTTAAAAATACACATATATTCTTACTGAGACAAGAAGAACCACCATTGTATCCTACATGATAAACCCAATTTACACTAAAACATTTTCTAAAGCATTGATCTTGATTTCAAAAGACACAATTTCTTCAGGGCAAATTTTTTCATTAGATATAAATCAGAATAAATCAGTTTTGGCATCAAATGAATCTAAAGAGTTGATATGCCGCTATTTATCCAGTTAAACTTAAAACTTATAGTATTCTGATTAACTCCAAAACTCCAGATATGTTCAATAAATAAATAGTTTGATGTTTCTCGTAAATATTGCATTCAACTGATACTTCTGTTAACCATGTTTGCCGTAGTCTTTGAATATAGAATCCAGTGCAGTACGTAATATGTTCAATGGAACAACGCCAATACCACTAGTAGCAGCTGTTCAATAAGTCTTTAGGTCTTCGATATCAGAGGTTGACAGTGAAGATATTTTTGGACAAAAAACAAAATGGCTGCCTTTATACACGTCGGGTTGAATATTTTGAGCCTTCTAATTGGTTAACCCTTCTATCGGTGAACTATAAAATGAGTCAGCTCATTTTGGCTAGCTCACTAGTACTACAGGCTACCCCAAAATTCCAACAACTTCACTTGGCCTCTTGAAAAAATTTGGTCTCAGTAGAGGCTTATTGCAAGAGAAAAGATAAGGTTTTACCCCCTCTCTCTTTCTCTCTTTTTCTCTCCCTCTTTCTCTCTCTCTCTCTCTCTCTCTCCGCACCAGGCAGTTATGGATGATCATGCTTCTCCACAACTTCCAGCTTTTTGTTACTTAAATTCTCACTCCTCGCTGTGGCCATTATTTGGCCATCCACTTACTCAAACCCGTCAAGGAGGTTACTCGCTGTTTTCCTTTGCTCCTCTTGCTCTTAATTTTTCCCTTGTGTTAACTTCTCCAATTCTTCTTTCTCCTTAATGTGTCCGAATGTAATCCATGGCCTTCTCGACATAAAACATTAAAGAAAAAACTCCAAATTCTTAAGGCTGTTGCAATAAAAGAGAAGCAGCCAATATTAAATAAGGTATCTTTCTTCATAGGTCACCGTGTATTAGATAGTGTTTAAAATAAATAAACACATAAAAAAAAAAGAGTTTTGACCGTTTATATGACGTCACCTGGAGTGACATTAAAATGGTTCCATCAAACGTGAGAAGGCCGGAATTATTTTTTTTAAATAGTTGCTTAAATAGACATAGAATAATCCTTGATAACGAATGGAGTAACCTTCGCAAGTACTCAAGAAGAAAACAGTATAAAATAAATATGAACTTTTTGCAAATTTACCGATAATTCCTCATTCAGAAATTTGAAAAGTTAAATAAAGAAATTGATAGACAGAACTTGTTTTGCAATCAAATATTGATATTTTTTGTTATTGCTTCTAGAAGGCGTATCGCCTCACTCGCTAAAAAACTCAATTCTTTAAAGGTATTCTAAAAACAAAATTGTTACCATTCCAAAACAAATGATTCCAAAGTAAGGAAATTCCAAAACAACGCTTGAGGATGAAACTGCCATCCAGTGCTTAAGGTTTAATATTGGAATTAAACTTAAATAATGCTGTCCAGTTTCGAAACAGTATTTTCTGTGTGGCTATGGAATCACATTTTAAAAAAAAAGAAATAATTATATATATATATATATATATATATATATATATATATATATAGATAGATAGATAGATAGATAGATAGATAAAGAGAGAAAGATGGAGAAACTATGTCTTACTAATCAAATAAGGTAACATTTTTGTTTTTAGAATACCTTTAAATAATTGTGTTTTTTAGTGAGTGAGGCGATATGCCTTCTTGAAGCAATAATAAGCAATCTCAAGTGTCGTTTGCATTTTACATTAAAATTCATTGCCTTTGGGAAAGCTAAGAGACAAAATAGTGTGATAGTCGCAGCATAGTTATTTTTTTTTCTTTTTTAGTGAAGAGTTAACTCTCAGTAGAATTTTGAACGACAGCTGTAATAAAAAAAATATAGAAATAGAGCACTTTTAAAAGTAGCAACGAACCCGAAGAGGACAAAAGCGAACTCTCTGGAGAATGAAGGAGAAAATGTATACATTAACAGACCAATCAGAATAAATGTTTTCCATCATTTGTCTGTTCGTTCTTTTCTATTTATTTCTTTTCTTTTTCTTTGTCTTGTTTCTATGCTTTTCTACTTTCGCCTTTTTTTTTTTTCTTTCGGATGGAATTTTCTCACTGTTTTAACTATTCTTTCCTCCCGTTTTCTTTTTCTTGCTTCTGTGCATTCCTTCTTTATTCCTTCGTTTAATATTTTACCAAAATATGTCGTTTCTCATTTATCTTTTTATTTCTTTTTTTCCCTTTTTTCTTTTCTTGATTCTATGCTTTCCTTCTTTTTTCCTTCGTCTAATATTTTCCAAAAGTATTTCTTTTCTTCCTTTCCTTGTTATTTATTTTTCTTGCTTCTGCGTATTCCTTCTTTTTTCCTTTCGTCTAATATTTCTTTTCTCTCTCTCTCTCTCCTTTTTATTTCTTTTTTCTTTTTCCTTTTCTTGCTTCGAAACCTTCCTTCTTTTTCCTTTTGTCTAATATTTCTTTTCCCTCTCTCTATCCTTTTTATTTTCTATTTCTTTTTCTTACTTCGAGACCTTTCTTCTTTTTCCTTTCGTCTAACATTTCTTTTCTCTCTCTCATTTGTATTTCTTTTTCTTGCTTTGAAACCTTCCTTCTTTTTCCTTTCGTCTAATATTTCTTTTCTCTCTCTCTCTCCTTTTTATTTCTTTTTCCTTTTTTTGCTTCTATGCCTTTCTTCTTTTTCCTTTCGTCTAACATTTCTTTTCTCTCTCTCATTTGTATTTCTTTTTCTTGCTTTGAAACCTTCCTTCTTTTTCCTGTCGTCTAACATTTCTTTTCTCTCTCTCTCTTCTTTTTATTTATTTTTCCTTTTTTTTGCTTCTATGCCTTTCTTCTTTTTCCTTTCGTCTAATATTTCTTTTCTGTCTCTCCTTTTTATTTCTTATTTCCTTTTCTTTTTTCTATGACTTCCTTCTTTTTCCCTTCGTATAACATTTTTCCGCCATTTGTCTTTTCTTTCTTCCACTTTAATTTCTTTTTGTTTTTTACTTTTTCTTGATTCTCTGATTTTCTTCTTTTCTCTTTTTTTTTTTACCAGTATTTTCCCATCATTTGTCTGTTCTTTCTTCTCTTTTTCATTCTTCCTTTTTTTCTTTTTCTTGATATCGTGTTTTCTTTTGCGCAGTTTTTTTTTCTTCGTCTAATATTTTCCATGAATTTATCTTTTATTCCTGCTCATTGTTTTCCTTTTCCTTTTACCATTCTTTCTTTGTTACCTGTCCCTTAATTCTTCAGCCGTCTGAAAACTAATGCTGTATTTTGGGAAATGGAATGAGACTCATTTTCAAATTGGTTTAAAGTTATGTTTGTTCATTATAATCATTTATTCATTATAAACATTGACAAAAGCTCAATATGAAACGAATTCTTTTATTCTTTGTTGAAAAAAAAAATAATCTGGAATTCCGGGAGAAAAGAATTTATCACGCATTTAGTCATTTTCTGAACTCAAAATCTAATTTATTTTAGGATGAAAAAACAAAAAAAAAGATCCAAAGCAGAGGATTTGGGCCTAAATTATTTTAAGAAACGTTCGGTCGTGCCCTTAAAATCGGAGAACTGAGGGAATGTCGCCATCAAGAATCAATGAGAGCATTACTCACAAAATAACGCTATAATATGTAAATTATAAAAGCAATGTTAAGGATTTATTATAGAAATACATTAAAATCAGAATGAAAGGTATTGTCAGTGGTCAGGAATAAATGAAACAATTACTAACAGAATAAAACTATAATATGTACAATGAAAAACACGTTCGTAAAGTTTTTTCGAGAAAAACGAAACAAATAATTTCCGATATGAATACTATATATATATATATATATATATATATATATATATATATATATATATATATATATATATATATATATTCATATCGGAAATATATTAATATTATAGAATACTATATATATATATATTATAGAATACTATATATATATATATATATATATATATATATATATAGTATTCATATCGGAAATTATATTAATATTATAGAATACTATATATATATATATATATATATATATATATATATATATATATATATATATATATATATATATATATATATATATATATATCGGAAATTATATTAATATTATAGAATACTATATATATATATATTATAGAATACTATATATATATATATATATATATATATATATATAGTATTCATATCGGAAATTATACCAACTGTTTAAATATATATATATATATAATTATAGATAACCAGACTCGTTTTGAAAAACCCTCGAATTTTTGATTTGCTAATCAAATCAATCTCGAGGGAAAAAAGGTTTTAAAAAAAAGAAAGAGCTACAAACATGAACTTCTGCCGACAAAAAATCGCACAGATGCAGGTCTGAAGCCCAAAAAAAAAACCCGATACGAGTAAACAACTAACAAAAAGCGCTCAATACAACCGTAGAGCAGACCTAGATACACCTAGTGAGCCAGACAAACCTACCTAGATTTCACCTAAACGGATCGTCAGGGAAAGTAAGCCTTACTTTTCCTGACGATCCGTTTAGGTGAAACCAGGTAGGTTTGTCTAACTCACTAAATATATATATATATATATATATATATATATATATATATATATATATATATTATACCATCTGTCCCAATATATATGAAATATGTCTTTTCCTTAACGCTTGAGTTTGGCAGTTGTCCACACGGCACCTATTTTGGAAGCTTATGCTCATCCATTCTCACGACCTGATCTTTACTAGAATAGTTTCAATGCCTGTGATGTTGTTACATTTCTTCAGTATTGCACCATTCTTGACCCTGTCATCCCGTTTCACACACACACACACACACACACACACACACACACACACACACACACACACACACATATATATATATATATATATATATATATATATATATATATATATATATAAAAGTGAACATTGAAGTCAACACTTAGAGGCGAACGTCAGGCCACCTTTATATATATATATATATACAGGGTCTCCCCCTAAATTTGACATCATTTTAAAAGCAATTATCTTGAAAACTACTAAGAAGTCTAGCTCAATGAAATTGAACAGTTTATGTGTTGAACATCATAAGTTTATTATGAGACCGATTTGATAAGTGTTCCATATGTGTACCGCCTGTGACACGGCACACGTCAAGTCGGTCGTTAAGCTCTTGCCAAACACGCTGTAGCATATCTGCGGTAACATTATCCAGGACGGAAGTGATTACCTGCTTACTTCATCAATACTAGCAGGAAGAGGGGTGGGGGACATAGACCACTCCCTTCACATATTCCCATAAAGAGTAATCACGCGGCGACCATTTCATCGGAAAACTGTCTTCATCTCCACCACACCCGATCCATCTCTCTGGCAGATTCTCATTGAGATAAGCACGTACTCTCCTCTTCCATTAAATATAAAATCTTGATCTGTTTCTATACATTCTGCGAAAATTTGGGGTTATTTCAACAAGAACTGCCCAAATTATTGGCCTGCGAAATGATGTCAAATTTTGAGGGACACCATGTATATAGATATACATAATTAGTGCGACGGGTAAATTGCCACCATTTTACATTTTTAATTCCGCGCATGCGCTTTGTTTGTTTTCGATTATGTCGACAGCACAGTATAGTAGGGTCAGTTGGGCACCGTCTTTGAGGAAAAGAGCACCATCACGCAATACACGACGCCAGAAATTTGGAAACAACAGCCTGTTCTGCTTGACATTCGATCAGGAAGCTACAATACAAGCACTTCAGAGTGTTTGGGTAACAATCTGATGACAGTGCAGAGGATTCGGAAAGAGTTGGATGAGTCTAATGATGATTACAAAGGTGTTTGGAGAGATCACTAGAGATGGCAACTTTATGCCTCCATTCATTTCCCCACAAGGCAGCAGACTCAACACGGAAGCCTACATCAAGTGCTTGGAAGAAGTAATGCTGCCGTGGGTCAAGAGGGTGGCTGCTGGAAGACTCTCTATCTGGCAATAGGAATCTACACCATTCTACACAAGCAGAAGAAGCCAGACATGGCTGTCAGATGATATCTGAGGTCACATCACCCCTTACATCTGGCCACCTAACACCCCAGATGGCAACTCCATTAATTATTATGTCTGGAGGGCAGTTGAGGGAGAGACCAACAAAACTTCTTGTAACACCAAGGATGAACTGAAGGCAAGGATTATGGCAGCATTCACCAACTTAAACAAGGATACCGTTCAGAAGAGATGCAGGAGATTCCGAAGTCGTCTGGAGGCCGTGGTTGAAGCCAATGGCGATTTTATTGAATAAATTTACTCTTTGGTATTTGAAGATATTTTTTGTGTAATTTTGGTAAATATATCTGTTAAAATCAGATGTCAGTGTTGTTTTCATTTTGGCGTAATTTTGACGACGATTTATCCCTCGCACTGTGTTCAAGTTTCGTTAAAATGACTAAGAAGGAACTGCGGTTAAGTTTTTTTTTTTTTTTTATATATATATATATATATATATATATATATATATATATATATATGTACTAGCAGCATGGCCCGGCGTTGCCCGTGCTTGATCCAAAAATCGTACGACTCATACAGCAATCGCTATCACTTGACTTAAAATATTTTTGCCCTTCCTTGCCTTTAAAGGAGTGCCCTTTGCCGTGCTGATGTTGCTACATGCCTTACTTCTTGCCTATCTCACACTGCGAATTTTTTCTAAGCTCTATACTAAACATTAAATCTGTTACGAAAAAAGAACTAAAAAAATGAACACAAAACAATCAGCTTTAAAAAAAGAACTCGTAACTGGAAAAACCGAATGAAAAAAAGAATGTTAACAACAAATACTTTTTCATACCCAAACCCAGTTCTGCGGAATCAGAATCAATGTTGAATTTAAGCAAGCGAATGAGCCAATTGGAGTAAAGTGCCATGCAGATTTAAATTTTTCCCACTTGTGACGAATGCAGCTATCGATTTTGTTTGCATGCTAGCATGCTAGTTAACATTCGTGTCAGTCAGCTGTTGGCTCTCACGGTGGCCAGTAGAAAATGGCCGCAAACTACATGAAAACTACCGTAGAAGCATGAAAAAATCGATTATTTCCACTATCGATGGGAGTTGGGAAATGCAAAGTCGGTCATGGCGTTTGCTGCTAACTTGGAGCATGTGCATGTAAATTTTGGTGCAAATCCGTCGAAAATTGCAGCCGTGCATCCGTTACACACACACACACACACATATATATATATACACACACACACACACCTTATATATATATATATATATATATATATATATATATATATATATATATATATATATATAAAAAATAATATATATATATTTATATATATATAAAATAGTATATATATATATATATATATATATATATAATATATATATATATATATATATATATATATATATATATATATATATATATATATAGATAGATAGATAGATAGATAGATAGATAAATAAATAGACAGACAGAAACGAAAAGAATGAAATGTAAATAAACCATAGATAAATAGCTAGCTAGCTAGATAGATAGATTCAAAGACAGAAACGGAAATGTAAATAAAACGATAGATAGATAGATAGATAGATAGATAGATAGATAGATGGCAGTATTTTAGACTTGACATCTACGTAGGTAAATAGGCAACTCTTCAATAACCCGGTGTTTAATTAGTCGCATACGCCTATATATTATTGCCCATTGACATAAATCATCTTGCTTGAACAAGGGTAGCAACACGCCTACAGTTGAAGCGAACTTCCTGGCAGATAGATTGACATGAAAAATAAAGGGGGTGGCGCCTACGAAGTGAGATTTGCATGCGAATCGTATCAAAATATGATATAATCTGCTGGCTATGTAAGCAGGCGAACAGACAACGTCTGT